AAACCCCTAAACCCCGAACCCCTGCCGCTCCAGATCTCCCAAGCTCAACCCTAAGCTCTGAACCGTGCAACTTGAGCCCCTTGGCCCTTTAATAGAGCGCTTATGGTCCCTAATAGTAGGCATTTGGGGTATAATACAGGGTACCCTAAACCCTAAACCCTAAACCCTAAACCCTAAACCCTAAACCCTAGTTGGGGGGTCTAGGTTGACCCCCCTGGCTCTACCTCATGCTTCTCAGGCACCTTCCCAGTTAGGGTTTAGGGTTTATAACCCTAGACCCCTGAAGAACCAAATAGCGTCCCTGGACGCATAAGGTTAGGGGGGGGGGCTAGAGATTATAGACATGTTTTTTTCATGAAAAAAAAATCATGAACAAATAGCACGGTTTGAATCACGGCTATATCGGCTCTGCAAGGTTTTTGCGTTCAGGGTTTAAGGTTCAGGAGCATTACCCGGGAGGTTTAGGGTTTAGGGTTTAGTGTTCAGGATCATTACACAGGAGGTTTAGGGTTTTGGGACTTGGGTTCAGGAGCATTACCCAGGAGGTTTAGGGTTTTGGGTTTTGGGACTAGGGTTCAGGAGCATTGCCCAGGAGGTTTAGGGTTTGGGGTTTGGGGTTCAGGAGCATTACCCAGGAGGTTTAGGGTTTTGGGTTTTGGGTTCAGGAGCATTAGCCAGGAGGTTTAGGGTGTCGGGTTGGGGCTTAGTGGACCTTTACTGGGGACATTACACGCAAGCTCGGCTGCCAATCATGGCTTCTCAGCAGACTTTGAAGCTGATCGCAACTTCAAACCTCAGAATCCGAGCCAGGGGGCTAAGAGTTTCGGTCCAAAGAGATCTGGAGAGTAGATTCCGAGTTAATGAGAAGAGCCCGTAAACTCCAGAAACGCCGTCGAACTTTGGGATATCGCAGCTGCGGGAAGCCTTCTCAGAGCTTCGGGTTGCGTGTTTTGCAGTATAGGTCTAAGGTTAGAAGTATGGGCCCCTAATATGGACCCTTAGGCCTTTCTAGGGACCCTTAAGGGTACATATAGTATAGTAGGTGTATAAGGGTCCCAGGGTTAAGGGCCCATACTAGGGGCCCATGGTTTCAACCTTCGAAGAGGGTTTAGTGTTCAGGTTTTTACCACCATGTACCCAAATACAAGTAGTATATGCTTTGGCCCTAAAGTAGTCCCGTTTTGGTACTTTGAGGCCAAAGTATATACTACTTGGGCACATGGACCCTTAGGGTAGGGTTTAGTGATCAGGTTTCGCCACAAAGGCTGTAGAGAGCAGGTATCGGGTTTATAATGCAGGGCTTAGGGAAGCATTATTCCTATGCACGAGCGACGAACAGACCTGGCTAGAGACGCTAATATAGGGGCCTAAATAGCTGCCAATGTCATTTTGGAGGTTCCTTGTTGGAAATGTAGTATAAGGGGCCCCAAAACCTTGTTCTGATGGGTTCCCGGTGCATGTGGAGTGACTACTGGGGCTTGGGCTTAGGGTTTATGATGCTGCAACTGGCTCTTAAGCCTTTCTTTGGAACCAGGTGTCGACCTGTCTGTCTGGGTATCATGTGAAAATTAGACTGCCAAGCAGCTCAGCCCCAATACGCAGACATGTAGCCCCTCCAGCGAGCCCTGAGATCTTCTGGGTTTTGCCTTGCTGAAGCTTTGAACAACTATCTCCTCCCATCCTGAAAACCTGCGAATTCTGCAGGGATTCGGCCAACACCGCACGAAGTCTTCTAATGTCTTCTCCAACAGACAAACTCGAGAGCCTCTTGAAGAGGCGTCCGATCTCCACTCCTGCAGCAGCAGGCACGCGGGATTGAAATCGCCAGAGCATCTGAGTAAAACGCTCACTAGCTTCAGGCTTAGCGAAGGGCTCTACAGGGCCCAAGAGTGCTCCCTGCGCCCGATGGTGCACAGGTGGCTCCAGCACCTGCCTCTCTTGAGTGGCATCAATGTATGGTGCTGTATGCAGACTAGATTCTAGAGGAGGGAGTCTAGACTCTAGACCAAGCAAACGAGCAACATACCCTAGGAGGCATGGACATTGCAACTCGTTAATGTTATGCCGAAGACATCGGGAAATATGTCAGACTTGGGTCAATCCCTCTTAGTTACGCTGCGTGATCTCCGTAACAAGGAAATATTCGGCCGCGAGTATACCCGCACGCGCCCCCTCCGGCAACTGCGGCAGTCAGGGTGCTACCCCAGCCGTAGGCCGTGAGCCCGAACAATCGAATCTATCTTCCGATCTGCCACGGTTTAGGGTTTATGGTTCAGGGTTTAGGGTCCAGGGTTTAGGGTTTAGGGTTTAGGGTTTAGGGTTCAGGGTTTAGGTTTAGGGTCCTCCAGCGGCTACTTACCAAACGCGTGTAGGGTTGAGGCGTTTTGGGGTTTCGGGCGACAGTCATGTTGAAACCCTGCTACTCCTTTTATTCGTAGTACCAGGCATCAATGCCCTGAAAAGGCCCACATTACCAAACACCCCCAAGCCTTCATCCAACCTCCTGAGCGTTCTTGCGGTTTAGGGTTCAGGGTCCTCCAAACAAGCCATGAAGCGAAAGCCATCCGTCTCCAAAGCTTGAGAGGAGCAACATACCCCCAGTGCCCCCATCCACAAAAACGCGCCCGGAGCAAGCAAACAGGAAGCTTCTGATCACCACTTCCTTCCCGATATCCTGAAGCCCCGAACCCTAAGCCCGAAATCCTGAAGTCCTCAACCTCTAAATCCTGAAGCCTTCAACCCTAAACCCTAAATCCTCAATCCTGAACCCTAAATCCTGAAGTCCTCAACCCTAAACCTTGAACCCCATTCCCTAGATCCTGAAGCCCGAAAGCTCTGATGAGACCTGTTAGCCCTAAACCCTAAACCCTAAACCCTATGTAAGCCCTTCGGGTTTAGGGGTTAGGGGCTTAGGGTACAGGGGTTTAGGGGTTTCGGGGTTTAGGGTTTGGGTTTTGGTTACAGGGGGGCTTATAAGCCCATGAAGCCTCGCACTCTTCCCCAGAAGCCTAAACCCTAAAGCTCTTAGACGCCAAGCCAGGTTTAGACCCTACACCCTAAACCCTAAACCCTAAACCCCAAGCCAGGCTTAGATCTGTGGTTCGACCTCGTTGATGGCTCATTGCCTGGAGGTGGCACTCCATCGCTTGAGAGGGTTTCGGGTTTAGGGTTTACAGTAAGTGAGGGGTTTACAGTAGGGTTTAGGGTTTAGGGTTCAGGGTTTAGGGGTTTAGGGTTTAGGGCTTAGGGTTTAGGGTTTAGTGCAGTTTTCAGAACGTTTGTGGGAGGTAGTTGGGGTTGCAAGTACTTGTAAGTATAGCGGCCTAACTTCCAACCCCGCTTACTAACCCTGCTCCTTTTTGTAGGGGGGTTGTGCGACCTCAACCCTAAGCCCTAAACCCTAAACCTTTTGAGAGAAGCTGGAGAACTGGCGCAAGAATCTAAGCACCGAGGGAGCTTAAGCGCCCACCCACCCATATCACGCCCAAAGGCTGTAGGCTTTTAGGATTTGGAGCATAGTTCGCTTGTGCATGATTCTGAGAGCCTTATCATGGTTGGATACCATGTTCCAGGTTTATGAGTACTCAAATTCAGCAAGGGGTAGACATTTAATTTCTTAATACGATCCCAACCTTCAACTAGAGAGGTGCACACTTCTTCGAGGAGGGAAAGGCTCATGGTCTCATCTGTAAGGGAGAAAGAGTTTGGGTTTAGGGGTTTAGGGTTTAGGGTTCAGAGCAGCAGTGATAAGAATGCGACCGGCAAGAAGACTAAACTAGATGCCCTGATAAATTAGCCATTCTACTTTGGGGCTCCTTGCTATAGGTATCGTATCATAGACCCCAAATCCCTATTGACATCATCACGGCCCTCATATAAACGAGTCATTGTCAGTCTCACTACCGCCACCACATGCATCACCATCATCACCATCATTGTCTGGGTCATAGCCATCATCAGGGTTTAACGGTTTATGGTTGGGGTTTAGGGCTGAGGTATCATCATCGTCACTGTCACCATCGGCACCCGTGCATTGAGAAGTGCTGGCTAATTCCTTGCATCAGGCGCACCTCGTTCTGTGCGCAGCGCTGCGCTGCGGGTGCCTTTCGGCCTTAATCGACTACTCTATTCGAGGAGCCTTGCTTTCTCTTATCGAAGTGAAATCTTCAACTTCCGACTGTTCCCTATGTAGTGCAGAGTCTCTGGCTGTGCTCAGGAATCGTTTGATGCTCCAGCCATACAGCGCAAATCCCGAAGAGTATTCTGTCGGAAACTACAAATCTCAGTAGTCCAGCTGTGTGTGTGTTTCCTCGTCTGGTTGCTGCAGCAAACACTGCCACTACCACACAAACTGCTAAATGAGGTACCCACACAACCTCATGGTTCTTGCATAAGGCGAGCGCTGGAGTTGCTGGAGTCGAGTTGATTATATCACCCCACACCCAACCCCAAACCCCAGGTGTGCCCTACTCTCACAAACGAAGACCGCTTTCAGAGTGTGAATATTAACGAACCCCACTTTCAGAGTGTGAATAGTAGGATGCCTTTATTGTCAGGACCCCCCCCCCCCCAGAGCGGCACCTATAATGTTAAGGAGCCCCATGTCCACAGCCTACAAGTTCGTGTGCAAGACCCTCATGTGAATTTGAGGTTTCATGGGTTTTATGACTACTAGGGTCGTCTTCGGATCCTATAAGAGTGCTACAAGGGTTCCAGAGAGCCTTGATATGGTTTTCGGAAGCGTGTTACGTAGGCCCTCAACTTGAGTTCCTTTGCTTAGGGCTCCAGTATCCTAGATTATCAGTGTTTCATGGTATATGGGTAGTTCTCTAAACTAGGGTCCCCGTTTAGGTCCCCAATATAGTACCGCACCTTATAAAGAAAGACCAAGGACTCCGAAGGGACCCCCAATCTAGAGAGCTACCCATATGGGTGGCTGTCAAAATTATGGTTCCTTTTTGGGTCCTTATTATAGTACGGCACCTATTATTGAGGGTACCCCAAAAGGGACCATAATTTTGACGACTACCCATATGGCTAGTACCCTATTGCGTAGGCAACGGGAGCCCCTCAGTGTGTTTGTCAACGTGTGTTTGCTTTCTTGTTACCCTAAGGGTCCATGTACCCAAATACTGTAGTAGAGACTTTGGCCTCAAAGTAGTCCCTATTTGGGTGCTTTTGGGGCCAAGTATCTACGACAGTGCAAGCGTTGGGTAAGAAAACAAGTCAGTGAGCTCAGAGGTCACTCATTTTCTTAGCTTGCTCTTCCATGAGAATGTGGCTTTCAGAAGTCCAGTGCCCACTCATTTTCTTAGTATTTTCTTAGCAACCATTTGCAGGGAGCAGGAGCTAACACCTCCAACAATCCACCTGCCTTCCTTGTAGTGGGAAGCCGCAATGCAATGTCTGACATGAAGATCGTTTCCGATGCCCAGTCTGACGCTGGCGAACTGACCTGGGGGATGGGGCGGGGTCAAA